GGGGGGGGGGGCATTTAAAGTGAAAGTTTTATTTCCTCAACTTCACTTGACAGTTACCCTGTAGCAGTCGTTAAGACAATTTTATTATTATTATTATTATTTCAAATGGCAGGCTTTGTGATACTTATCATTAGCCCTTAAACTTTGACTTCAGCTTCCCCCAAAGGTGGGGGGGGGGACATTTATAGCAGTTAATTAATAGCAGTTCATTAGCCGTCTTCTTGCTTCCCAGTATCTCTGGTTTTCCGTCGTTGTCTTTAGAGCTGGACATCGAATCAGGTGAGTCTTCTCCAGTTCCTCATGTAGGCTACATAGAGGGAGTGGCTAATTTAAGACCTCCCCTATTTTTCTTCACTCTTCAAAAAAACTTTGCATATTATTTCCTTGTGTGCCTACTTAATGCCGGACGGGGATTTATCGTTATTCGTGGATTTCTGTTTCAGTAATGTTGTAGGTGTAAGATGTGTGTTGTGGTGTGGTGTGCTATCTGTAATTTTCAAGTGTGTCTCTAACCTCCAATGATGAGTGCACATTTTAGTGATGGCTTTCCTATTAGCGTTGCTTGGCCTTAAAGAAAGAATAACATCGGTATTTATCTCATTAATTTTGTGCACACATCTTAAATTTGCCACCTTTGTCTACTGCTTTCAGGAAAAACGGAGACACTTGCAGCTCTACTACGCTGTCTCGCCGTCTTGGGAAAACGGACACTTCTCATTTCACACACTCACTCCGCTGTAGACAATGTTCTTCTCCGACTTACGACTGTAATTTTTATCTTTTTTTATTTCCTATTAATTTTGGCATTTGTATTCCCGTTAAAAGACTTGAGTATGAGATTGGGGGGGAGGGGAGGGGAGATAATTCCGGAGCCCCTTTTGTAAGGAATTCTCATTCCTTCTGCTCCACATCTCTAAAAAAGATACCCGAGCATATCTGACCTCCTGATCTTTGACTTGTCAAGCGTCCTTCTTGAGTAATATGCTGGTCATACGCATTTCTCACGTAATTAATACTGACTGAAGTACACGATCACCTCACTTATAATGCGGAAGTAGAGCAACACGTTCTTTTTAAACCAGTTGGTGATTTGAAAATGATGTTTGTGAGGCTCATTGAAATGAAAATTCACTAATCATAACTCTCCTCAACGCTTTGACTTTACTTCCAGGACTCGGATGTCAAATTCGTTCGTTTGGGGGCTCCGGATAAAGTCCACTACCTTCTTCGTCCACACAATCTTGAGACCCTTCTTTCGAAGCAAATTTCTTCCAACGTGAGCCGATCAGATCCCAGTTGGAGCACAGCACTCTGCTCGCAGCTGGTTAAATATGTTGACGAGATCATGACACAATCGGTAAGTTGCATGTTTTTTTTTCATTTTTACCCATTGGCTGCTTCTAATTGGTTGTTTTTCTCGATTAGACATTGGTTGGTTGTACAGCCTTGGCCGCAGCTGGTCATGAAGCTCTGGCTAGAAGGAAGTTCGACGTTGTCGTCGTGGATGAAGCAACTCAACTTCTGCTACCGACAGCTCTTGGAGGACTACTCAGATTAGAACCTGACTCTAGTCAATTTGTTCTTGTAGGAGACGAAAACCAACTTCCTCCTTTAGTCCAGTCAAGTGTTGCTAGGTTTGTCTACAATAACTTTGAACTACTGTACGGATTTAAGTAATGTTACCTTCATATGCTCTCCATTTCTAGGGACTTAGGGCTTGGAACAAGTCTTTTCGCCCATTTGTCTGGTATTGTTCATCGACATGGTAACACTCAGGTTCCAGAGGAAGCAGACTCTTTGGGCAGTTGTTTAGTACAGTTGAAAGCACAGTATCGAATGAACTCGCACATTTTGCGACTGGCCAACACGTTGTTTTATAACGACGCAATGGAGTGCGCTTCGGATGAAGTAGCCAATCGCACGCTGGAGTTGAATCAATCTATTATTGGAGGGGTACTCTTTAATTTTGCCAAAATGAAATCCTTTGAAGTGGGCGTTATTTTTCATGTATTTTTTGGGTCTCCTTTTAGTCAACAAGTTGGCTCAACCGAGTACTTGCCTCGAAAATTGAAGATTCTGTCATCTTTCTCGATACCCAATCTGTACGGTTACTATGGTGATGCCAATGCTTATATAAATTTCTTTTTTTTTATTTCATTTCAGATTTGTAAGCATCTTGGGGGCAACTCAAATCTCATTGAAATTGATATTGTTTACAAAGTGGTTGCGGCTTTTACTAAGGTGGGTGGAATGGCCATGATTTATTCTTGACTAGTTGACAAACGTGTTTGACTCAACATTTTACCATGAAAATTCATTTAGTAGTTGCGCGGATTTTCAGTTGCCTTCTAATGGTAATAAATTTGTTCAAAACAAATATACTCAATTAAAATGTGCAGGACACTAATTTTCATATTCCTACAACAAATCTCTAAATGACATCCAACAGGCGGCCCGTTTACTAACTTAATTGAATTTCCAATAGAATGAATGAAACTTTGGACAGGGAATTGGCTTGCAATATTGTGGGGGGGGGGGGGTACCAATGGGTAATCTCTGTTGCCTTTCAACTTTCCTTAATTGGGTGTGGCGGAAACTTCCAATTTATTTTTACTTCCAAAAATTTTGGGAGGTCCTTCCCGTTTTGTGCGACCAGGCGACAGCATTTTGAAGAGCTAAACTTTTCTGTAATCTCTCTCACTTGGTCTTCCCAATTACTGGCAGTAAACTCTGATTGTAACTGCTTCACTCGATAACTAGGAAAATTAGTTTATATTCACACAAGATGAAAAAATTTAGAAAAGATCTCTTCAGCCAATGGTCATTCGATAATTGTGCACTTTTTTCCATCCGGTTTGTTTTTTTTTCCAGCGAGGTATTTCGACCAATGACATCGGTGTAATAGCACCCTACCGCGTTCAAGTCGATTTTCTTATCGAGCGTCTCCGTGGTGATAAATTTGTTGAAACCGATTTGATCCCTTCTTCACCTGCAGTAGAAGTAAGCACAGCTGATCAATTCCAGGGTCGTGATAAGCCTCTGATTATCGTCTCTTTTGTGGACTGTTTACGTCAGAAAGGACGGCAGACTGATACAGTAAGGGCCGATTTATTGATTTTTAGATTCACCATATTTACAATTTTAATAGTTTTTAAGTAAATAACTAGCTTAGATGACTTGGTTGCCATAAGAGGGTGAGTCAAAATGTCCTCAAACCAATTCCATAATTAATTTATTTAAGGAGTGGTTTCATTAATTCTTCTGCATCTGCTCCATTGTTGTAAATTCCTTCATGGTGGAATTTCGGGACTGTCTTTCTCACTATGAAATCACATACTTTTACGCTTCATCTAAAGACATTAATCTGGTGCCTTTAAGGTGCTTTTCCAGTATTGTATACAAAAAAAGTACGACGACGCTGTGTCTGGGCCATGAGAAGGATGAGGAAGTGGTTTCCATCGGGATTCGCGCAACAGGACGAGTGTTTACTGGAGCCAAGAATTTCAGTGATAATTGAAAATACTGCTGCTCCGTATACGATTCCTACTTCATTGGCGATTTCCTCAATGATACCTCGTCATTCCGGTTCCACTAGGTTCTACATCAGAGAAATATTCTATTGATTTCTTGCTGTGATGGGCTTCCTTCTCCTAGGTCGTCATCAAGTTGCACACTTAGTGAAATCACAAATGACTACTCTACTTGGCGCCGAGTCCCCTTAAACCCGTTGTAGAGCTTCTATAGTCTGACCGGATTTCCAATTTAGTTTAGTCAAAAATAGGATGTTAGCTCTGATCTCAAAATTTGCCCCTTAAGGGGGTTTAAACTTGTTAGCTATTTAAAGATGCCACCTCTATTGATCATGTATGTTATCAAGACGTGTCTGAACTTGTGAAAACGTGTGATTCTTTGTTCTAATTAAAGTTATGACACCTTCCTGAGAGCTTCATTACTCGCCCTCGTATCCCCGAATGTCAAACTATCTGGTTTACAAGTTGCATTTTTATTCAGCCTCGACTCCTTAATATTTCTCAAAATGCGTAACAGTCTGCAGGATATTAAATGCTGTTTTTTTGGGCTAATTCCCATAAAATAAGTAGAAATGACAAAGAACCGAGTTCTCTTTATAATTGCCAAATCTCATTCTCCCAACACCTTGTTTCTTGTACCTAAACCCTCAGATGCATTTGGGAAAACGTTTTCCGTTTCGACTCGAATTAATGTATTTATGCAGGGGTGTGCGATAGACTTACCTCCACATGGTGCACCCTGGGCAACGTTTACTCATACGGAAAAAAGTCTATTAATCGGCAGTTGACTTCTGACTTCAAACTACCATGACCTCACTGTATGTCATAGTCGACCACTTCTACAGTACTCACCCAACCCTACTCCCTACCATTGTGTCTGCCTCTTTTACATCTGCAAATCACTCTTCGGTCCACTCTCTTGAATTTTTCTAACTTTGATGTTTCTCCTCCCCTCTGTGAAGTTCGAAGTCAACTAAAGGGTTAATGATAACTATCAAAATGCCTGCCATTCGAAATAAATAAA